ATTACAACCCCGCCGAAGCACCTGCCTATAGAGCCACCAGTGACCCGTCAAAAAGAGTAGCATGGGAATTCGGGTGGTGACAAAGGCCGGCGGGAGAGGCGCGCGGCGCGGCGACCACCGCCTGGGCGCCCCCTCTCGCTAAGGGTGGGAGGAGAGGTTGTGCGGGGGAGGGGATGGAGAGAGCGCGGGGAGACTGCAGCGGGCCTTGTCCCTCACCCCCTCAGGCCTGTCACTGCGCCCAAGGGAACTCACGGCCCACCCAGCAGGCCGGGACTGGAGCTCAGCTGCACCGCCCTCCGTCTGGAGGCAGTAAATTTGGTTTCCATAATTTACAACTATCCTCTTGTGCCTGACACACGCCCTCTGCCTTAGCTGGGGTCCACGTTTGGGGTCCCGTCGCCCCAGCTGCCGTCTTCTTCCTTGGGGCACTTTAGATGATGCCAAGATGAGCGCGCAGGAGGAGCAGTTGTAGGGTTTCTTTTCCCTGTTTCCCATCCCGCCGAGGCAAGGGGCACACTCTCTAGAGGACCCCGAAGCGGTGGAGGAAAGACCCGGCTCCAGCGGGAGGGGCTCCTGCACCGCGGTCTCCTGGGGCCATCCGGGCTGCGGGTCCGCCCTGCCTCCGCCTAGACTAGGGCCGATTAGAGACCAGCTACCCGCCTGGGGTGGGGCACAGGGGGAGGGACGCAAAAACTCTAGGGCCTAGGGGGTCTGCGCTTCAGACTCCGTTTCCCAGCCACGTTAAGGTGACTTGGGGTCACGAGACAAGCTGGTTGACCCCGTTGCAAAGCTCCTCATTTAACAAACCCAGTGAGCTCCGACGTGAGGCGAGCAGGAGTTTCCCCGAGGCTCGAAAACCGTTCTTAACTTCCCTCGACGGGGGGTCCCCTCAGGGCTTTTTGTGTATCATAATTGCCTAAAGATATATGGCAGCTTCGATTACTGTAATTACCATCAGAGGCTGTTGAAAGAAGTTAGTCTGGGCTGCAGGGGTGACTGGCCGGGGTCTTGTTACCACCCAGGCGGAGCTCCGGGTTGACAGAGCTCTGCTCTCCAGCGGCGCAAGGCCGAGCGCGGCCCGGGCTGCAGACCTGGCGCCCGGCTCTGCCCTGACCT